CTAAAAGGTTTCCGCTGTCCATAGCGTTCCTTGAGAGTGCTGTTGCCAAGTCACCAATTTAGCGTTACTTGGTCCCAATGGAATTTCCCATTGGGAACCTACTAGCACTAACTTGCAGTGGTTAGCAAGATGCTTCTGAGACACCGGCACAAGCGAACTTGCTTGTGAACCTTCCGCCACAACAATCCAGCCCCCTTGAATGCAATTGGACCAATCACATTCACTTTATTCATTCGTGTAAAGTCATGCACCACTCGGGAGAAATCGGAACTGCAACCGTTGGAACAGCTGTTGTTTTTAATAATTAATGACAAATGGTCCTTCCATATACCGAAGGGGAGAAAAAAAAGTCATATGACTTAAACTCTAACATAGGGGTAGAGTTTTCTAGCCCATGGGCTCTAGCCTGTATACAAATTTATAAAAACTCCAAAAGAGCTGCATGTTGGGGATTGCAGGGCTCCATATCAATGACTCACTTTTTCCAATTCAGACCTACCTCACAAATGTTAACATGGGAAGTTTCTTTAAAAAAAACATTTAGACTTTAACAGAAATTGTGTGATTTTGTCAGAGAATAAGATAGATTTTTCAAAAATCAAAAATGCTCCCATTGGTTTAGCAGGAAACAATGGATGATTATGCGTGTTCAGTATGGTGGAGATCTGTAAGTCTATGAACTAATTTCTCCTTTAAAGGTCCTAGGAGAATTGATTTAATGCATTGCCTCGATCTAGCTTTTATCATAAAAAGCATCCAAAATATCTAAGACCATACCAACAAAAAAATGGTACATGAGACAGAAGGCCTGCTTCTATGGCCATCTCAGTCCACAAACCTGAATCCTTTAAAAAAATACCTGTAGAAATGACCTGAAAAAAGGAAGAATGGTAAAAGATCTGTCTTTCTCCATGAACCATTTCTTAAAAACAGCATTTTAACTAGTTTTGTTTATTGCTCTATGAAAGTCATGCAACTTTTTCCTGCTGCTCTGGACTATTCTTTTTTTTTTTTTTTTTTTTCTCTAATGACTTTCATCTCAGCTGCATATTTGTCCTAATGTGACCAGTTTTTTTTCCTCTCATCCAGCTAATGCAGGGCGAGGAAAGCCTCCTGAACCTTATGATGGAGAACTCTATGCAGCCTGCCTGGAAAACACCTCAGCTGGGCCGCAAACCCAGGGGGAGCATCAAACCCCGTTCACGGGGACAAACTACTGCGAGCAACCAGCCTCTTTTTGGAGCAGCTGCATCTGCCACCAGCTGCCCCTCTACAGCAAAGAGCCTCTGGGAAAAGTCCAGCCATGTAGGCCAGAAAGGCGAAAAGCCAAGAAGCTCGTTTAAGACCGTGCACCACCATGTTCATCAACACCAGACCAGGAGCTCTGACCTGTACAGTGACCCACCACCACAGCCGCCTATCTCCAAAATGGATTCCTGCCACATTTCTGAGGAGCGTGGCCCGTGGGACAGCGTCCACATGGGAAATGGGGTTGTGTTGGGGGATGGATCTGGTTTTACAGCCAGCTCTTCTCCATCTCCGGCCTCCAGTCCGGGTATCACAGTGCCTGACGCCAGGGCAATCCTCCGAGGTGGGGGACCAAGGTCCCGCCTGGCCCGTCAGGGCAGATCCAGAGTAAGGGGAGGCTTTGGGGAACTGGACTCCATGGACCTGCCACTCACAGGGAAGGGCACATCCTTGCTGGATGCTGCCGACACTGATGGGTATTTCTCTGATGGTGAGAGTGATTTGGAAGTGCGTTCCGGTGGACGTAAACTTCGGCTGCCTCAGTTGCATTCTGCGAATGAGGATCTACTGAGAAGAAGCGTTCTGGCGTCCTAAACAACCTAGACTCAAACAAAAACACAAAGGAAGATTTCAAAGCTGACTGGTGGCTGAGCAGCCTTGTTAAACCAAATCTGTCATATCTATCAGTGGTGACTTTTTCCAGCTCTGCTTTGTTTTTTTGTTGTTGTTTTTTTTAGGGAGGGGTGATCTGAATGTAGCTGTATGCTTATCGTACAGTAAAGCTTCTCCACTGGACCACAGTTTGACGTTAGCTCATCATACAGTACTCTCAGCAAATAGGAAACAAACATAACCATTTGTCTTTGTATATTTCTGATGACTTTTCTTTCCGAGCGCTTAAGCACCCAGTTCTGGCCTCATGTCTGCAGTATGCGTTGGACCTGGGAACAAACACTTTGGGGCATTATTCTAATTATTCAAGCTGGTTTCAGGTGTGCAACATTCTTCTTTTGAAAGTCCAAGTTGCATCCAAGGAGTACTTGTTTTCTGAAATATGTTCGCTCAAAGACAATTTCATACCAGAGTTGACATGAATATGTATGGAGGGTGGCACAGGACGGCATGTACTCAGCCATGAAAAGCACAACTAGTCAGATGAGCTGTCATGGAAGCACTTGAGTGTATAATAGATACTCATTCAGGGCTGGGGTCAGTTTAATTCCTGTTGACTCAGAAGAAGAGTTTACACAGAAGCCTTTTTTTTTTTAATTAGTTTTCAGGCCCTAAAAAGCAGATATCTTATCCAATTTCTTCCTACTCAGCGAAGATTGACCCCAACCCTGCTGTTGTGTCAGACTGTCACAGAGACACAAACACACACAAACATACACTCCGGAACATTTACATGTCTACTTGCATCTTAGCATTGTATAAATATTTCATAAATTCTTCTCCACTGCTGTCAAATTCTTCCAAAATTGACTTTATTCCCCCTAAATTTTAAAAAACAGAAAAACAAAATCAGTACAGAAACGTTGTGCCTTCGGTTACTTCCTGTGACCTCCCCACGAAACAATCAATGACTAAACCAATCAATTGTCTCGCAATCAAAATTTTTAACAATCAAAGCAAAGCAAAATCCTGCTAGATTGGTTGCCACGTGTAGCCATCTGGTGTCTTGTCACCTTAGCGATTGAATAGTGCCTAAAAAAACAACGGAAATGCATGCAGCCTTTGCCATTTATTTTAAGCGATTAATCTGCAGCTCTTTGCAACACAGGGCCACACAGCGCTGTCAATGCAAAGATCTGCCTACTCTTATAAGCCCCAGTTAAATGACTCATTTGCTGCAGAGAGCCATTAAAAACAAGTGCTTGGCCAAGTTACACTGTTCTTGTTTTATAGACGCCTACAAGATACCTGTTGCTCATGTCTGATCTGTTGAGATAAAAACGGCTTTTCAGATTCTAATCTTTACCTATTTTAATCTGTTCTCTTTTTATAACCAAATTATCTAGGTGTTGTAACTCAAAAACAAAATAAATCAAATGCTTTGACTTTTTTGCAATGCCTTCAAAATCATCTAAAACTGCTGATAAAATGAGCAAATATCAATATCTTATAAGAAATCATACAGTAATAGTTTGTCTTCCCGGTGTAAACAGATATTTTTATTCTCAGTTTTTATGAAAGAAGAGTCAATAAAGAGCAGGCTTTTAAACATGTAAAGTAAAACTAATAAAAGAGAAAACATTTTTTTAACAGTCTTTAAATATATGCGATTAGAACAGTTAGTGTTACCAGTTTTAAACGGCAGACACCATCTGAATTCCCCTTGGGAACGCAGTCCTTTAA